TGGTTTTATCATCTTACAGACTTCATGAATTTTTAAACTCATCAGCTGTCATCTTACCCATAGGCTCCTAGAAAGCTTAGGGCCTAATCACCAAGAAGTAACCCAGTCATTAAAGCTTTTATTTTATATATACTGGGTCATCAGGAAAGTCATGACACATTTTTACAAAGAAAAATATGTCATGACTTTCCCGATGACCTAATATTATCTTTATTTTTACTACTTCTTTCCTTGTTTCTCATCTTTATTTTCTCTGTCTTAATTTTCTATTCACTCTGAAAGTAATTTTTTTTTTGGAGAGATTTTCACTATAGGGCGCGTGCGCTCGCCAGACAGACAGAGAGAGACATAGAGACAGAAAGCGAGAAATCACCCCCCCAGGGGGGATGGTCACGCCGCAGTCCCTTCTCCTCTATTCTCCTCTCGGGATCTTGGGCATGCATGCACACACGCCGGACTTTAAGCCACTGGGTCAGTGACTCGAACCACGGTCAACTACATGGGAGTCCAGCCATGTAACCATTATGCCATCTGTTGGTCCCACAAGGCCTATGCTAAATGTAATTTATCTTGCTATACTGAATGCAACTTTATAAACCATCCTACATTCTTTTTAGAACAAAGCGAGTTGTTTAACATTTTAAATTAATCACAATAACACAGATTCCTAAGGTACTTCATGATATCCATATTTCAATGTGCCAGAATTTGCACCTACATATGACTGGCTCACCTAGCCCACAGTGTCTCCCGAACTGCAAATCATCACTAGTGATTGGTCTATACCCTTAGTCCTGACCTGAAAGTAAAAGAGGACCATAAACTGAAAGACACTCCTATGAATCTCGTCAATCTCAAAGGCTGAGTGTTTGGAAAACACATAAACTACTTAGGCACCATCCTTCAACCAGAGCCCAAGCATGCTAACTACAGTAAATTAGAGATGCCTCCTGTGACAGCCACTTCTGCAAATCTCAAGTAAATATTTAGAGAACTACATCTCTAAGTCAAAGCCATTGGCTCTCATCTCTTCAGTTCATCAGTAGCTTACAAATTCCTATCGAGCACACACAAACATATGACGTCTACAAAATCTTGGGCCAGTCTGTGGTGTGTTGGTTGGAGTGGCTGGGTTCCACATAGCTGACTGAATGCTTCAAGTCCTGAACCTTGCAGCTTGAGAAACCCACTGGCTATGTGTGCTCATAGTCCCAAAGGAAGGGAAGAGAGAGGAGGAGGAAAGGGGATTACAGCTGGTCATGCCCCACGAGAAGTGCTTTCTCATCCCCTCTTTCTCCCTGTCTTCATGAGTGCATATGTCCTATGGCAAATATCGTTTTAAGTCTATGAAATCTCAATATAAACAATATGTAGTTCAGCCAACTAAACACACAAAGGCTTCGCAGAGCCCAGCCTTGCCTTGGGCAAGACATATGCCCCTCCTCCCCAGTCCTGTTTTGCTGCTTGGTTTGTAGAAATATGGCTTTCCTTACAGCTCCAAAACTGGCGCTGAAGCAAAGTTCTCAATCTTATGTAAAATTCAGGGCAAACTACACATCCTTTGCTCCCTATCATGCCCAATTAATTCCTAATCCTTGACAAAAAGTGGTTCAGGGCCTCCATTCTTAGGAAACCCTATTTCTCTTCATAACTGCCATGCCACCTGCTGGCCCCAACGCAATAGTTTGTAACTGTACTTTCTCTCACTAGTCTTTCCACTCAAGTCTATCTGAAGGATCTACCTAAAACACAAACTTGACCCATGTTGCTCCCTTGCTTCAATCTCTTCAACAGTTCTTAATCTTTTAGATTATTTTATAGACCTTAGAGGGCAGCATAAGATTTCTTTATTTGTTTGTCTGTTTTTGTCTTTTTTTTGTCCTTTTAATTGCCAGAGGGCACTTACATTGGCCAGGGAGAGAGAGAGGAAACAAGGAGTGAGAGAAAGAACTGCCCAATGAAGCCTGTCCATGCTACAATCTCTTTCTCTCATTTCTCCTTCCCATCAGGATTTTGGGCACACATGCACAACATGTTTTTCAAGCCAGCAGGGGCCAAACTTGAATTGTGGTTGACAATAGGGTATCCAGCTTGCTACATATAACACTTAAGCTATTCTACAGATCTGGTCCAGTATTTAAGATTCTTAATATGGAGACCAGCAGTTAGGATAATGGCTATGTTGCCGAACTCTCATGTAGTTGACCGTGGTTCGAATCCTGGACCTGGTGGCTTAAAATTCATGCCAGGCGTGTGTGCATGTGTGCCCAAGATCCCGAGAGGAGAATGGAGGAGAAGGGATTGTAGCGTGGCCATACCCCCTGGGGGGTGATTTCTCGCTTTCTGTCTCTCTGCCTCTCTCTGTCTGTCTGGCGAGCGCACGTGCCCTATAGCAAAAACCTCCCCCAAAAAAGATTCTTAATATGGAAATAGAGTCCTCTACAAACTGCATCTCACTGTTTCTTTTCAACACTCTGCTGTACTCTAAGATTTCATGTGGACTCGCTTATTGTTCTTTGAGCATGCTATTTCTTATCTATATAGTTCTTCTCATGTAGTCTTAGACTGTTAGCCTGGACTTTCCTCCCACTACCAGTGGCTAACTCCTACTCATCCTTTAAGAATTAATTTAGTGTTCTATTTGCCAGGAATTCTTTTCCAAAATCTCTCAGGAAAAATTACCGTCCCTTAGTTATCCTTCAGTGCTATTTCACAAAATGACAGTGCTTTATAGCATATAAAATGTTATAAATTTTTCATTTATCTCCAACACTAAACTATAGACTCTAAAGCCAGAATGTTTTATAATAATGTATTCCATGTGGCTCCCATAGTACCTTGCATCTAATAGCCACTCAGCAAGTGTCAGTTGGCTACACAGTGGTCAAACGTTGAATGGATATTGTCATGAGCCTTACCTAAGATTCTCGGATGCCAATATCTGTTGATTTATGATTGCTGAATTTTTTAGATATTCATGGTTTCTTCCAAAGAGCTATCTATTTAAGATTCCTTAGCAATTACAGCTCTTTTAAAGAAACTTTAAAAATAATAGTTCATGGAAGTTTTAACTCTTCCTACAGATAGCTAGGTCCTTCAAGGACTGGAAGTTAGAGCTTTTTAAAAAAGTCATATGTTCTCTGCCAACACCCTGGGAGCCCCTGTAAAAATGGAAAGCAACCTCACACATACTTCAAGCTCACTGACATGCCAAGTTTCTCCTGGGATGATAAGTTGCCAAGTACCACAGTGCTGCAACTTGTCATCTCCAGTGAATGAGAGGAAGAGGTGGTGTGGAAAGAACATCCTGTTTTGCAGAATTTCAGTAACTGAAGTGTTGTCATCTCACGTTATTTTTTTTTCATTAGTGCATCTGTTTAATCTTATACAGCCCCCCCTGACTACATGTTGATGTACAGCATTAGAATTCAGCTGGTGCAAAGTAGCTAGAGCACAAAATAAGAAGGGCAGTTTAAATGAACTCCCTATTTCATAGTCTTAAGTGATAATAGAAGCACACAAAACAGTCCTGGGTCTCATAAGCACCATCTTAGGGTACCTAAAGCTCTCTGAATGTTATAATGCCAATTCTGATTACTTTGCCTTAGCCCTGCTATCTGAATCATGGTGTGACCAGAAACAATTTATTTCTATTTCAGAAAGATACATCGTTTGAGAATATCAGTCAATCAGTATAGAAACAAGTTCTTTTTTTTTTTATTCTCACCATTTTTAAATAGAAGCAAGTTCATTTTTAAAAATTCTCTCCATTTTAAAAACTGTCATGGTTTCTTATTCACATTCAATCCTCTTTGTAGAGCATTATATGTTTCTTCAAAGTATACATGTAGTGCATGGCAATCAAATCAAGAATATTTCTGCATATATCATTTTCATAGAGAACTTTACATTCTTGAATCTGTTGAGTGTTTTCTCCCTTTGCTCCTCGCAGTCACCCTCTACTGTTAACAGTACTTGCATTCTACAGAGAGAACCTAACTACTTGAACGCCTACTCTGTAGCAAGTATGTATTACTTTCTTTACCTATGTTCTCTCGCTTAATCTGCACAATAACACTTTGCATCATTATCTCATCTTTAATACATGGGATTAATAATTAATAAATAATCACCTGTTTATATTTGTGTTTATCTTAAAATGTAAACAACAATTGCAAGTATTTTTATTCACAATGTTGAGAAATCACTTTTGCTTTCATGGATCACATAACCTGTGTAGATCAGTCAGTCCCTATGTTTGTGACAACAGCTTAACAAGTTGATAGTGCTTATTTATATAGTTCTTCTGGAAGACTTACTGCTGAGTGAAGCAAGCCATACTATGAAGGAGAGGCATTGTATGTCCCCACATAAT